GGCCCCTCTGCATGGTTTTCATTCTCTGTGTTTGTAATTCCCAAATATTATAATGAAAATTCTTTATTTTAAAAATCTGAAGTTACCACTTTTTAAAAAGTACTATCAGGCCAGCCAATGGCATGGAGGTTAAGGTGGCTGGACCCTGCATGGCCAGTTCAGAGTCACTGTCATAAACCTGGCAGTCTGGAGAAAATGCCAGGTGCGTGTGCACAGCCCCGAAATCCCGGGAGGAGAACAGAGAAGAGACTGCGGTGTGACCACCCGCCAGGGGAGGGGACGTGCACTCTAGCACAGGTACACACTCTTCAACAGCAACAGCAAGGCCTGCCAACGACAGCATGATTGCCTTAAATCACGAAATCCCCCAGCCAACACTCCACAGCCCAGAGGGTGCAAGAAGGAACACTCCAGCCACAGCAGCTCTGCCCAGGCCCCATGCCAGGGCCACCTGAGTGTGGGCCGTCACCCTGGACTAAGGGGCTGTTAGCTCTGGTAGACTAGAAACTGATCAGACCTCGGCCTCCTTGTCCAGCCTGTCCCTCTGGGAGCCTGCACTGGCCCAGGCCCACCACCTAGCACTTACCGTCCTCCTGTGCAGGAACAGAGCCCCCACCTGGCCATAGCCAGGGACCCCACCAATAGGGAGTCCAGGACTCGGCGTCACGAGTGTCCAAGATGCCGACTGCTGGGACTGCAGACGGGCACAGAGACAGCCAAGGAGTCCCCGACAGCTGGGGGCTGGAGCGCCTCGTGAGCTACAGCGCTCCCATGAGTGCGTCTGCTGCTTTTAGTTTTCTACAGGGCACTGCGCTTGCTGGAGACAGAGAGACCACCCCTCAGGAGATGGCCACTCCACAGCTCCTTCTCCTCCGCTCTCCTCTTGGCATTATGGGCACATACACATGAGCCCAAAGTGTTTTCCAAGGTGCTGGGTCCAGGACTTGAACCACACAGCTGGCCACGTAGGATCCAGACACCTTAACCACCAGGCTGCTAGGCGGCCCAAGCACACTTGTTCTAAGAGCTGTCAGGGTCACCCTTGTGTGAAAGGGGCGAAGTCTGGGCACACTCTGCCACACCATCGGGGACGCGGGTTTCATCTTGGCACGTGAGCCAGGGCTGGGAGCCTGCCTGAGGCCCTGCTGCAGCCACTGACCCCAGCACGTGGTCTGGGTGAGGCCGAGATGCTCCAGACCCTGCACTCCTCCTTCCGGTCACTTGGTAAGGTTCAGACGGGTCCTGGGACTAGGCTGGCCACCAGACGGCATGGCCACGACGTGCTCCAGAGCCCTTAAGGGCCACCACAGTGCCATGGGTGGCAGGCCTGTGAGCTGAAGCCCCAGACTCGGCACCGTCAGAACCTTGCACAGCGGCCGCAGGGGACTGCAGCCCTGGAAGTGGCCAGGGGCAGGTTCCTGAACCTCAGGGCCTGTGAAAGGACTCAGGGGGCAGCTCATGCAGGACCCCAAGGCTAGCTCCTGCCCCAGAGGCACCCGCTTGTATGAGGGATCCCACAGCCAGGGCCATGGCCAGAGGGAGGGAAGGGTGGTGGTCAGTGTGGGAGCCAGGTGGGTTTTGAGGAGATCGATCTGGTATGCGCGCGTGTAGGCACGTGCCGAGATACTCCCGCGGTCTGGCCTTTCAGCTCACGCTGGGATCTGCAGTGACCACACCTAGACCACCATGGGTCCCAACCCCGCCATGTGAGATCCGCTCTCACCAGAGCCAGCCGCTTCGGGGAGGGGTCCGAGTCGGGATAGCGACTGCAGGGCAAGCTGGACGGACACAGCCTCCGGTCAGCACTACCTCCACGCCCACCCACACCACAGCACAGCTCCAACCTCGGGCGTGCAGCTCACAGGCAGCACAGAGGGTGGGAGCCGGCGCCAGGCCCTGTACAGCCTTCCGGAGGCCGTGGCTGTCCAAGCACGGGCTGGGGGGACTGCTCAGGAGCCCACGCGGAGGCCCATGTGCTGAGAGGCTGCCGTTCACGATAGGGAAAGCAGTGCAGGACAGCCTCGTGTGTTCCCTGAGACGTTGCACTGCTAAGGGCAAAGGCCGCACTCCAAGCAACGTGGGCATCACTGCATCTGGGGCCAGTCCCGCTGATGACCAGGGCACAGAGAGAAGCGGGTATCATGAGGCAGGACCCAGGATGTCTTGGGGAGGGCAGCCCAGAAAGGTAAAGAGAAGCCCGCCCACCGGCCCCTCCTGGCCCAACTCTGGGGCTGCAGGTAGTGCCTGTGCAGCCCCACCCGATGACCCTGAAGGCCAGGAGCTCTGCCGGCCGAGGGACCTACCCCTGGAGGCCGGACAGGCAGGGCTTCTTGGCCTCTAAGGCAGGAAGGGGGCAGGCAGGGGCCCGGATGGGGATGTCGCAGACCAACAGCCTGGCCAGTTCCTGAGGGGACATGTTGGGCTGGGCCAGGAGCTGCAAGGAGAAGGCAGGCCGCGGCCAACTCCACGAGGGCCACTCACCATCCGCACACGCCTCAGCCGCTCCTCCAGCCTCTCCTCGGCCTCCCGTGTGCGCTGGACTGCTTCTAGCCGGTGGATGAGCTCCTCGGCAAACTTGTGTGGCTCCACGCGGATCTCCTTTGGCACGCGGTAGGTGCGCTGCGGGGACAGGGCACAGCTATCAGTGCTACCCATGCCGTCTCTGTCCCTTCCCTGCAGACACTGGGAGGACGCCGTCCCAGGCAGGTGTGGGCATAAGGACCCAGTGGACGAGGCCAAGCCAGGCCCTATTGCAAGGCAGGCTGGAGCCTTGCCAGACATGCCCGCACGAGCGCCCGTTGGCTTGCCACAAGACACGTCTACAGCAGAGGGCAGGCTGCAGCCGGGTGGGCACTGCCCACTGGGGGGCAAAAGGCCTGGCCTGCAGGTACTCTTGGGTGGGCACAGCCCCCAGCACTCCCAGGACTCTCCCAGTGCTGCCTGGTCCTGCCCCAGAAAGGGCTCTACACACATGTGCACAGGGCAAGGCCTAGGTTGGGCCCCAGTGCAGGGTGGGCCATAGAGGTCAGGGCACAGGGACGCCATCAGGGACCTCCCTCCCAGGAGAGCTCAGCTCCCCATGCGTCTCACAGTGACACACCGGGCAACGTGGGGCTATATTAAAGTGGTGTTAAACTAGGGGCCAGCAGGTGGCATGGTGGTTAAAGGCGCTGGATTCCCACATGGCCAACCACGGTTCAAGTCTCGGACCCGGTGGCTTGCTTTCTCACTTTCTCTCTCTCTCTCTCACTCTGTCCCTCTCTGGTCAAATTGAAATAAACAAATGAGTAAATAAAGTTAAATAAAATAGTTCTTTAAAGAAAAAAGAAGTGGCGGGGCCGGCAAGTGGCATGGCAATTAAGGGTGCTGGATTCCCACATGGCCAACCACGGTTCAAGTCTCGGACCCGGTGGCTTGCTTTCTCACTTCCTCTCTCTCTGTCTATCTCCAATCAAATTGAAAAATAATAATGATACTAATAAATAAAAGTTAAATAAAATAATTATTAAAAAAAAAGTGGTGTTAAACTTCAAGACTATCGCAAAGGGAGTCCGAGGAGCTATCGTCGCCCTCAGGCAGACCCCCACTGTCACGCGACTACAGGCGTGCACCGCTCCCTTGTGTGAGCCACGTGGTGGTCCTCCCCTGCGTGGAGTCACTGCTGCACATTACGCCCACTGCTGGCCCCCTTTTATTCTTAAAGCTAATCCACTTGCTTTTCCCATGAGAGACAGAG